TGAGGGGAGGCGGCCTGGGGGCCACGGGGAGCCCAGCGCTGGGGGCTGGGCGGGTCACTGTGGCGTTGGTGGTGACCGGCTGGCCACCTGGGAGCAGAAGCCCCAGGTCAGTATTAAAACAAACAATACGGGGGCCTGGGTGGCTCAGTGGGTTAAGCCTCTGCCTTCGGCTCAGGTCATGATCTCAGGGTCCTGGGATCGAGCCCCGCATCGGGCTCTCTGCTCAGCGGGGAGCCTGCTTCCTCCTCTCTCTCTGCCTGCCTCTCTGCCTACTTGTGATGTCTGTCAAATAAAATCTCAAAGAAAAAATAAAAAAATAAACAATACGTTGTTGAAATATACATGTAATACATCATATGCCCCCAAATGACATATAAATTCAATTCCATGTCCATCAAAATACTGTCTGGATCTCCCATGGAACTTGGTGACGGAGGACAAAGTACCAAGGAAAGTGGGAAAACTAAGGGGCAGGCATGTTTGGACTCCTCAGACACCCTGGGAATCAGGGCGCTGTGCAGGTGGCGAGCGGCCAGGGGGCCCAGAGGCGGCCCATGGGCCCTGCAGGGGCGCCATGAGTCGGGACGGGATGCCTGGGTCTGCAGCGGCCAGGTGGGGACGGAGGGAGCACAGGCCAGCTCCAGCCCCGGAAGCCCGGACCCCAGACGGGTGCCCGCCGGAGCCGGGCAGAGGGACCATCTGTGCCCCAATCATGGACGAGGCCGTGGTGGGCACAGGGCACCAGGCGAACCCCCCTCACGCCATCGGCCTCCTCTCGGCCTCAGGGTCGCTGACGGTCAGTAGCTTGATAAACATGAGAAACCCTTCAATGTTTAAGGAAAACACAGTGTTGAGTTCGTGACATCAGCGCGCAGAACTTTCCTGACCTGGAAGTCCCCACGGAAGCACACGCCCTCCCTCCGGGACACAAGTCGCAGCGCCGAGGAAACGGGCAAACGTGCGGACGAGCACTTTGAGATGCTGTATTTCATCCCCTGGACGGGCCTGTTCGAAAGTCTTCATTTTGATTTCCCCACTTTTACCAGAAATGTTCTCCTTCCTTCTGCCTGGAGCTCCCTTTGGGGGTCACAGGGAAGGCCTGGTGGTGACAGACTTTCAGTCTTGTTTCGTTGAACACGTGGCTTCCGGCTCCGTTCGAGGTGCCTTTTCTGGGAACATGACGGGGCCGGCACGGAGAGCCCTTCCGATGCCCCCACGCTCCTGTTGGAATGCCAGCGCCGGCGGGAGTCCCTCCGGACGTGAGGGTGTTTCTGTCTCCGATTCCGTGTCCTTGGTTGGCAGCACGGCTGGTGGACGGGGCCCGCTTGGGGCTGCACATGTGGCCGTGGGCGGCGGGGTCGGCTGGGCAGAGCCACGCGTGACCCGCCCTCGGACACGAGACCTGTCCACTGAGTTCCCGATGGGTCAAACGTTCTGTGTTTACAGAATTTCACTCTCCGGCCATACCTTCCTGAGCGCGTTAGTCACAGAGCCCACGTCTCGGCTCTGCTTCGGATGCCCCCCGAGTCGCCTCCTATCTGTTCCCGTCCGTCTCGCAGTCCTTGGTCATAGCTGGTTTTTTGGTGTGTCTCGGGTTTTTATTGAGCGTCAGACTGAACTACATGAAGCTACAGGCGCTCTGGATCTTTTCACTGGAAGAAATTTACTTGCCCTGATGCCACCAAGCCCGCTGTGTGTAAGCTGGTCTCCCGCTGGCTCTGGAACCCGGGGCCCTCACAGTGGCAGGCCCCGAGGTCGTGTCTCCCCCTCGGGGTGCCTGCTTATCTCCCAGCTGCCATCCCGGGCACACGCGCCTCGGGGAGCTGGCACCTGCTTCGGGGCAGCGGCCTGGCACGAGGCCCCTCCTGAGGCTCCCCCGTTGTCCAGCACCTGGGCTCCTGGCCGCGCGTCACTGCTGTGTCTCTCTTTCCGGGGCCACCGCGTCCGGCTTGGGCCACCACCTTCAGCACACCAGCCAAAGTCCCTCAGGGGTCTCCGCTCGCTGGGGCTCCTTCCTCAGATCCTGGGGTGCCTGCTCCCGTTTTCTCTGGCCTTGATGGCTCTCGAGGAGGCCTGGTCTGCTACCGGCTGCCGCCACAGAGTCAGAAGGACAAGGGAAGGGAATTTTAATGTTAAATAAAGTCCAGTGTTTCACATCCATTTACTCACCAGGGTGAGATCCGAGCTTATACAAAACTCTTGCTTACGCGTGAGCACGGACGTTGGTCCGCTGACCCGCAGTGTTGCCCCGCACGCGACCCAGGCAGCTCACGAGTCAGGTTTGAATGGAGTGCAGGCGGGACATCGCACAGCAGACCCGCTGTCCTCAACAGGCCGGCCACCGTCCCCTTCGCACACCACTGCCGATGTCGGCCACTCCTTCCTGTGGGACGGTCTGCCATTCCCGCGGTGCCGGACGGGGCCACGGTTCCAGAACCACCCACCGGCCACACAGCAGGACAGATGCGTGGGGCTCAGGGGCCGTGCCCTGCAGCCCCTCCCGCACCTTCCATGCAGCCTGTCGCCCACATGCCTCACCGGACAGGAGCAGCCCAAGGTCACAGGTTCTAAAACCTGGGCGGAAGCGTAGACCGGGTCGGGAGCAAAGATCCAGCGTGCTGCACAGGTTTGTGCTCCGTGGGCCCGGACGTCTGTCCACACGGCTCCGCGGCAGCGGGCGGGGCGGGGGGTGGGGGTACGACAAGCGTGGACGGCCAGGGCCGGCTGCGCTCCAGGAAAGCTTCACAGAGACGGAGCCTAGACCCTGGGCTCTCAGGAGCAGGGACCACGTCCACATTCACTACGGCTCTGTGCCAGGAGCTGGCCTGGGCCTGGAGGGCGGAGGGTCCCTCGGTCACCGAGCGAACGACAGCTTGCGTCCTGCAGCCACCCTGTGCCCCCTCCTCTCAGGGCACAACCCAGGACGCCCAGCAGATCGCCCCTGCTGCCCACATGTGGCCCCGCAGCCATGACGGCTGGGACGCGGGGTCCACCTCTGTCCTCACCCCACAGCCGGCAGCCAGGGCTGCCCAAGTGGGTCCAGGGCCGGAGCCCTGCTCTGGCAGGGGCACCTCCCCAACACCGACAGGCTGGGAGTCCCGCCCGCCCGCAGCTTGCGGTCCTCCTGTGGTCGGACCCTCCCCCAGGTGGAGACCTGCGCCGACCCTGGAGGCCTGAACGAGTGCACCCAGGCTCCCCCCCCCCCCCCCCCCCCGAGTCCTAGCCACACCGCTGGGAGCCGGAGACCCTCCCTCCCGCGAACACACACACACGTGAGCGCCTGGCGCTCCTGCCCTGGTCCTGACCTCAGCCCACGGGAGGCCCCCGCGGCTCCACGCGCAAAACAGACACATGAGCCCCTTCCGGGAAAGCCGTGGGCTCCAGCACCCGAACTTTGCACCCTCTGCCGTGGACTTGGGCACTCACTTCCTGCGGCTCGGGGAGACCTGGCCGGGGAAGACCGACAGCGGGCTGAGCCCCGGACTGGGGAAGGCTCCCCCGGAGCCTCACCGCGCGCACACTCACGGCGACCCCCGTGGGAAGCACCTCGGCAGCGTGGTTCTCTAGCCTGTCCCTGGCCGGTGCTCCGTGGGTGTCGGGACAGAGGCTGTGCTCAGGAGCTGGGAGGCCCGGGCAGGGTGTGCGTGGGGCCCACGGGAGAGGCGCCGGGCACTGCCTGTGGACTCTTCCCCTCTGGCTCCCAACGCACGTCAGCGCTGACCGTGAACCCGAGACCCGGGGGTCTCGCCGTGTCGCCCCCGTTAGCAGAAACGCGGTCACGGCTGCGAGAATCCCACCTCCTCCCCTACCTCCCACCCCACCCCCGGGTGGAGGCCGGGACGGAAATTCACAACTCTGGAGGCTGCGCGAGTGGCTCCTGGGGTGGGGGTGGGGGACGACCCTCCCGTTATCCTCAGAATAAAAAGCCAGTGTTCTCCAGCGGTAGAAAATTGCAAATAAAAAGTTTAATTTCAGAAACTGCGTTCACCATTTATAAATACACTAAAACATAGTCAATGCAAATCCAGATTAATAATAGGTCCTTTTTTAACAAAACAACTTTTCTAAAAGGTCACAGGCAAATGAGTGACTTGTTTCATCCAGAGTATTTAATTGGTTTGAAATAAGAAAATGAACCCTTTTTTCTAGATGTTGAAGCAAAAATTCTGAAGACAGATCATCGTTCCAAGAATGACACGGACGCCTCATTCGGCTGTCCGTGGGGTTCTGCGACACGCCAGCGATGGCTGAATCTTCCCTATTATATAAAAAATCTAGACGCCTAAGGCTACTCTTACAACTGCGATGGGACACCCTCCTCCCTGTTAAGGAGCTGTCTCTTCTAGAAACAATTTTATACATAATTTGATCAAATTGGGGTCAGTGGGGTCAGTGCACAAATTTCAAAAGATAGCTTCCTGGTGTCGAGACAGCAGGTCCGAGGGTCGGGCGCCCTCGGCAGGACTGCTGCGCGCGGGCCCCTGGCGCGTGGGCTCGACAGCAGGTGTCCGGGGCTCGTGACCGAGGTCGACCACGTAAAACCTGAATGCAGCAGAAGCACAGACCGGGACGCTCTCTTTACCGAGTCACTACAGAACCGGCACGGCGGGACGCGTCTGAGTTTACTTTCCTCTTCTGACGCCGCACCTCCGTGGCGGCAAACACTTATGTTCCAGAACATTCTGTACTCGACATGCTTTAGAGCCTGCAGTTAGAAACTGCTCAGCCGGGATGGCTTGAACTCCCCCTCTTATTTACAGATTTCATTAAACAGCCACAAAAGCTGCTCTGTTGAATTAAAGCAATTCTTAAACTAAAATACAGTACCTGAATTGTGGTTTTTACGTAATTGAATAAAAAGCCTACAGAATCAAACTGTTCACATCTCCTCTGCCGTTCTAGTAAAACCAACTACTAAGCCCCCACTTTGAAAAAACACGTTACAGTCGGGAGTGAAACCCGAATCATCGTATTTCACCGGTGGCGGCAAGACAGGCGGCCCGCGGCGACGCCCGGCTGCGGCACCGGGAGTAAGGCACACGTAGGCATTACAGTGACGCTGGACGGGGTGGGCGGGGCCCGCCGCCTCCCCGGGACAGACAGTGGGCGCCCGGGCAGCGACGGCTCCACTGCGAGCTTCAATACTGGAAGTATATCAAGGGAAGATTCACTTTCAGAAAGATGAGTTTTTCAAAATGTTCCATCGTGAGCCTGGACTGGCTGAAGCTGGCGTTCTCGGTGGGTGTGTTGAACAGCCGTTCGGAAGGGACGATGCTCGGCGGGCAGCCCAGGAACCGCACGGCCAACGCGGCCAGGCCCGGCCAGGCCGCCTTCTTCAGGTTCCAGTAGGTGAGGGGGTCGCAGCCGTGCTCCAGGACCTCCTCCTCCAGGTAGGCCAGCACCATGTCCTCGGGCACCTTCGTCTTCTCGCGGGGGCCCTTCTTTGTCATCTTGGCCATGAGGGACCACAGGTTCTCCTCCCCGGCCGCGCCCTGCGAGGCGGCGCCCGCGTCGCAGCCGTTGGGGACGGGCGTGTTATCTGAGGTAGGGTTCAGCGCCTCCAGCTCCCGGATCAGGTCCCGCGTGTACTGCTCCGCCTCCTCTTCCGAGAACAGGGAGGCCTTGTAGCGCGGGTCCAGCAGCGTGGCCAAGATGTACCTCGGGTCGCGCAGGGTGGCGGCCAGCCGGCTCACCATGGCCTCCTTCAGGGACTTGAGCATGGTGTCGATGCCCATGGTCTCCTCGAAGAGCATCTCGATCTTGCGGTTCAGGATGTGAATCATGGGGATGACCTGGCTGAGCGTGGACGCGTGCGCGCTCATCTCCCGGCTGGCCGCGTCGAAGGGCTTCAGCGCGCGGCACACGGACCGCATCACCTCCCACTGGTCGCAGCTGATGAGCTCCCGGAAGCCGCACTCGACCGACACCTCGCTGACCGCCCGCTTCTGCTCCACGAGCCGCTCCAGCATGTGGAAGGACGTGCTCCACTTGGACGGGACGTCCTGCAGCAGGTGGTGCGGCGGCAGCCCGTACGCCCTCTGCAGCTCCGCCAGCTTCTCCTTGGCCCGGGGCGAGCGCTGCACCCGCTCACACAGCTTCCGCGCGGCGCTCAGCAGGCTCTGCACCATGCGCTGGCTCTTGAGGGCCTCGCTGACCACCAGGCTGACCGTGTGACTGAAGCACTGCACGCTGGCCCGCGCCCCCTCGCTCAGCGTCTTCCCGATGCTCGGGCTGTCGGTGACCGTGATGCCCACCTGCAGGCCGGTGGACGTCACCCAGGCCTCCCACCAGCCCTCCAGCTGCTTCCGGATGCTGCCGCCGCTGTAGTCGCAGTCCACCTGCGACACGTCCAGCAGGGCCGAGCCGTGGTGGTCCTCACGGTACGGCCGGGCCGACGACGCGAAGGTGACCCAGTGGGCGGTGAGCGTCAGGTACTCGCGGGCCTGGGCGCTCATCCAGATCCCGGACGTGAAGTGGACCACGCCGCTCTCCGCCTCCTTCAGCTGCGACAGGACTATCTGCTTCACATTATTGTACATCCCTGGGATGGCCGTCCCCGAGAAGTAGGACGGGGAGGGCACGGAGTACTGAGGTTTCAAGTGTCCGAGCAGCCTGTGAAAGCCGACGTTGTCGACGAAGGAGTATGGCTGGAGGTCAAGTGCGATCATCTCAGCTATGAGACTCGTGATTTTTTTGGCAACGGGATGAGAATCGTAGAACTTCTCATTGGGGTCTTCGAAGGAGGCGGCTCCTGGCAGGTGGGCGCTCAGGGCTCCCCGTGGGCTGGGCGAGGAAGCCCGCGCGGCCCGGGGCGCGTCGGCCTTGAGCACGCCACTGTGGAACCGCTGCAGGTGGCGCAGGAGGCAGCTGGTGCCCAGGTTGGTGGGCTTCTTGCCCCGGCTGATGGTGCGGCCGCAGTGCAGGCACACGACCTTCGTGGGGTCCGCGGAGCAGATGGAGAAGTGGTTCCACAGCTTGGAGGTCTTCTTGCTGCTCACGGGAAGGAGGACCGGGTTGTTTCTCGGGACCACGGTGGGCAGGTCAGTCAATCTGGCGGAGGCGCCTTCCGCGGAGGCCAGCGTGGCGTAGGGAGAGTTGGCCAGGCTGGCGCCCAGCGCGCCCTTCGGGGCGCCCACCACGTCCGCGTGCCGGCGGTACAGGTGCCGCATCAGACAGCTGGTGCCCACGTCGCCCCTGCGGCCCCGGCTGATGACGCAGGCGCAGTGTCTGCACACGGCCTTGAGGCTGTCCGTGGGGGCCAGCGAGAAGTGCTGCCACACCTCCGACTTGAGCCTCTTCATCACCTTCCTGTTCTGCTGGGACCCAGCGCCACAGTCCAGCAGGCCGGGGCTCAGGCCGCCAGCCTGGGGCTTCTCGGGGGAGGATGCCAGCGAGGCCTCGCCCGCGTCGTCCGAGGACGGCGCCGTGTCCCCCACCAGCGCGTCTCCGGCGCTCAGACGCACCTGCAGCTCCTCGGGCAGCCGGTCGGGCGAGGAGGACGCCGAGGGGGACGCCCGGGCCGGCTTCCCGGGCGAGGACGCCACGGAGCTCGGGTCTCCATCGGGAGGCGGCAGGGCGGGCAGCAGCGTGGGGGGCGCGGCGTACGGGGGCGGGATGCCCGAGCCCCCGCCGTTCTCCTGCAGCACGATGGAGCGGTGCGCCCGCCACATGTGCCTGATGAGGCAGCTGGTGCCCAGGTCCTTCCCGTTCTTGCCCCGGCTGAACTCGTTCATGCAGTGGACGCACACGGCCTTGGAGTTGTCCAGCGGCGACAGGTAGAAGTGCTTCCACACAGCCGACCGCCTGCGGGACCCGGACGTGCCCTTGGGGAGCGCGGGGTTTCTCTCCAGCCCGTTCTCCGCACGCTCCTCGCCCGGCAGCGGGGGCAGGTGCGGCGGCGCCCCCAGGGCCTCCTCCCGCCCGTACCTGTCGGGGGCAGATGTGTCGGGGGGGACGTCGTCGGGGGGGACCACAGGCTCCTCCGTCACGTCGTCGGGGGACGGGACCTTGGACGCCAGCTTTGGGGCGAGCTTGAGGGGCGAGAGCGCGGCACCCAGGTCCCCCGCGTCGGCGGGCTGTGGCGGCAGCCGCAGGGGCGGGGGCGACAGGGAGGGCAGGGCCGGCCCGCCGCCGTTCTCCTGGCCCAGCACGGTGGGGTGCGCCCTCCTCACGTGCCTCATGAGGCAGCTGGTGCTCAGGTCCTTCTCGTTCTTCCCTCGGCTGAACTCCTTCATGCAGTACGTGCAGATGGCCTTCGTGCTGTCCCGCGGGGAGATGAAGAAATGCTTCCAGGCCGGCGACTTCTTCCTGGAGCCCGCGCCCCGGCCCGAGAGGAGGCTCTGCGTCACGGCCTCCATGGCCACGTCGTACAGCGTGCTGCTGTACTGGGAGAACAGGGCCCCGTACTCCTCCTCCTGGTCGGCAGGGACGCGCTGCCCGGGGGGCTCGCAGCCCCCGCCCGCCTCCCTCGCCTCTGCCTGCTCCCCACCTGCCTCCGCCGCGGGCCTGCCCTGCCCACTCTTAAACGCCAGTCCTTCCAAACTGTGCTTAGGGATGCGAACACCATCTTCCTCTTCTACTTTAAAATTTATTTTATCAGAAACCAATTCACCACCCCTTTCGGGATGAGTTTCCTGGTTATTCTCCATAACTGACCATAACTACTCGGGCCGCGTCGTCGTGTTGGCGGCGGTGGGTAAAAACCTGATCCGAAGGCTCATCTGTGCCCCCAAATGTACACCATCTTCAGCCTTGGAAGACGAATTCCGTCTTTCGAATGAGAACGAGCGCAGCCAATCATAAACCCAACCCAAGGAGCAGGCACGTGGGGAGCTCGCCGGCTCGCCTCAGGGCGCGGGCCGCCACCTGCCGGGAGCCCCGCCGCGACCTGCTTCTCGACGCAGACACGCACTGACGCAGCGCAGACCTGCATCTTCTCCTGGAAACCGGACCGCCGTCATCTCAGCAGCACGACGACCCTCTCGCAGCGTCTGTAAGAGGAGACAGAGTCAAGGTCAGCACGGACCCGAATCGTCCATTTCCAATCTGCTCCCTCACGGGTCCGTCAGCCTCGACATGCACAGGAAAAGTCCCATCACGGTAAGTTAAAATCGAAAACACGGGTTCCTCGATGTTTCACAATCCACTGATACAAGGAAAATACCCTAAAACAACAAAATAAGCAAAAAATAAGGGCAGGAGTTTAAATTCCAAGGGCCCAGTCACTAAGGGCTGGGGGCTCCGAGCCCCCAGGAGCAGCTCTCCTCGTGCTTCACCCTAAGAACAAACATACCAAGTGGGGACGAAACCCAGCCGACCTGTCATTTCCGACAGGACACTGAACGCCACAAAGAAAAGAGCGACTCCCAGTGCTGAGAGGGCGCGAGTCTGTCTGCAGCGCTGCAGGGGCGCCCGGGCCGGGGCTGGGAACAAACGCACGGAGCAGGCCAGCAGCGCCTCGAAACCAGGTGCGCAAGCAGGAGGCGGGGGCGGCACGTGGGGACAGAGTGGACACGGGGCGGACGACAGGAGCCTGCCGGGGCGGGGGGAGGAAGCCGCCCACGAGAAAGCCAGTAAGGCAGCAACAGGAGGCTGTCCTGTGGCGGGCGGCAGAGACCGGAGAAGAAGCGCTTCTGTGTAACAGCAGATTCTAGAAAACCCGCAACAGGCTCACAAGGTTTTTCCCACAGCAACCAGGGGTTTCCTGTAAGTACAATCAGCACAGAAAACCTTAAAACTACTCTTCATCTAAAACCAGAATGCCAGGTGGGAGGACAACAGGCAGATTCCTGACCCTTGGGCTCAGCCAGCCCCAAATAAAAACCCACAAGGCGGAGACAAGAAAACGAGAAGCAAAGACTCCGTGGGAGGTGAGGGGGTGTGTGTCACACAGCGTGGTGGGGAGGAGGCCCCGAGCCGGGGCTGTGCCGGCCGCGCCCCAGCCAGGTGAGCCGCCAGCCAGCGCCAGCAGCCCGAGTGGTGAGGCTGGCCCCACTGTGTCCCAAAGTCGCACGCCTCTGCGAGCCCGGGGAGGCAGGACTGACGGGGACGCGGAGATGACAGGCTCGGCAGGAGCCTCCCGGGCAAAGCAGGGCGTGCGCTGAGCCTGAGAAACTGGGTGCGCTCCGCAGCCAGCTCTGCCACGAGCAAGCGCAGGGTTCCCAGAAGGCGTCCCAAATCCTGAACTCCACAAAGTTCAGCCAAGTACTCAGAATAAAAAAAGCTTCTAAATGAAGTATCAGCAGGCACCCAGGGAGCGGGGCGGCCGGACTAAGTGCAGCGCGGGCTCCCGACCCAGAGTGGCCAGGCTCGCCACAGCGCCGCAGGCACAGAGAAAGCCCGTGTGACTGCGTTTCTAAAACAGAAGGTGTAATTACAGAGTTCCTACGTACAATTACATGTGTAAGCTGTTTTTGTTTTTTTAAATAAAATCCAGAAAACAAAGAGAAACGAGCAAAAAAAAAAACACTATAAAAATGAGTAGCCACATTTGGAAAACACTTCTTAAAAACAGAACTGTGAGCGTATATAAATCAGAACCACAATGCAACACCCACCAGGATGGCTAGACTCAGACAGACAACAGCAAGTGGGGACAAGGATGTGGAAAAACGGTGCCCTTGTGCTCACCGGTGGGGGTGGGATGGCGGGGCCTCTTCGAAAACCACTCTGGCAGCTTCCCAAACGTATGCCAAGTCACCCTACGACCCGGCCATCCCACTTCTGTGTAGACACGGAGAAGAAAGGAAACTGTGAGTGCACCCAGAGCCCCGCACGTGGACAGCATCAGACAAAAAGTGGAAACAACTGAAATGTGATCCATGAATGGATTAAAAACTGGGACGCAGGGGCGCCTGGGTGGCTCAGTGGGTTAAGCCTCTGCCTTTGGCTCAGGTCATGATCTCAGGGTCCCGGGACTGAGCCCCGAGTTGGGTTCCCTGCTCAGTGGGAAGTCTGCTTCTCCCTCTGGCTCTGCCATTACCCCTGCTTGCACTCTTGCGCTCTCTTTCTTTGAAATAAATAAACAAAATCTTAAAAAAAAAAAAAAAAAAAAGACCTGGATGAAATCTCTAGTAATGAAAATGCAGTACTTGAAAATATCCTGGATGGGGTAAACAGCAGTTTAGACGTAACAAAAGAGAAGATCAGTAATTATGAAGACATAGAAACAGAAATAAAACAAGAGGAAATAGCAAGGGAAAAAAACTGAAAAATTTAAAACTTGTGCACGGGGTGAAAAGACAAGATGAAGAAAGAGAGAAAACGTCTGCAAATCTCACATCTGATGAGGGGCTGACATCCAGGATAAACAAAGAGCTGTGGCAACTGACCAACAAGCCGGCTTGCAAATCGACAAAGGCCTGGGCTAGACCCACACGGACACACAAGGACAATCGGAAGCACGAAGAGAGATCACTTCATACCCACCAGGAAGGCTAGTGTCCAAATCCTGGGATGTGACGCTCCAAAAGTAACAGCAAGACAGGGAAAGCATGTTAAGATGTGCAAACATGGCCGGTGTGTCCCTGACAGCCTGATGAGGCCGAGCATCTTATGTGCGGGTCCAGGCTCCCTGTGAGCCATCCGCCTGTGCTCTCGACAGCCTGGGCGGTTCCTGAGAACTGAGCTCCTGAACTGAGTTCTGAGAGCTTTCCCCGCATCTGGGAGCGAGCCCTTTATCACATCTGTGATTTTTAAGTATTTTCCCCCAGTCTCAAGCTTGTCTTTTTCTCAGCAGTGTATTTTGAAAAGCAAAGCCCAATCTACCAATTTGGTTTTTTATGGATTGTGCTTTTGTGGTTATGTTCAGAAATCTTTGCCTACCCAAGTCACAGAGATCTTCTCCTGTGTTTTCTCTTCTAGTTTTACCACCTTGTTTTATATTTAGATCTTTGAGATACTTAAATTGTTTTGTATATGAATAACTAACTGCTCTAACAGCATTTGCTGAAAAGACTATCCTTTTCAACAACGGGAGAAACGCCTTTGTAACTCAATCGGACGTCAGCTGTGCGCGGACCTACATATATGGGTTATGCCCACAGACAGCAGCTATTAACCTACATCAATGGGATGTAAACATGTGGGTGTAGATATTTATCTACCAAACTGTGTACTTTAAACATGTGTGATTTACTGAATGTCAATTAATCCCAGTGTGGATAATATGAGAAACACATGTGTTGGGTCTTTGCCCCCCCGCCTCCGCCACACTGCCCCAGGTCCTGGCACGGGCTCCTGAAACCCCACCAACCTCCTGGGAGCCTGGAGTGTCTTCTGTTTTGATGAGGCGACTCTGGGTGGGCTCCTGGGTGGGGATGGGTCACCAGAGAGACCGAGCTGTGATCCCAAGCTGGGGTTTTCACCTTGTTCCCCATTCTCCAGAGAGGGGGAGGGGGGCTGGGGAGTCAGTGGACACCTGATCACGCCCATGTGATTAAGCCTCCATAAAAACCCCAAACGTGTGGGGTTCCGAGAACCTGTAGGTTGGGGACCACGTCCACGGGCCAGGAGGTGACGCACCACAGCTCCGGGGGACAGAAGCTCTTGTGCTCGGGGCCCTCCCAGCACCCACCCTGCACCCACCCGGCCGTGGACAGAGACAGGAGAGAAGCTATGGGCCCAGCTGCATCCGTGGCCTTCATCACACCCTTCGCTAAGCGATAAGCAGAGGAACGGGAGTCAGCACTCCCCCAAGTTCTGCGAGCTGTTCTAGCAGGTGAGAAGGTTCCAGAAGGGGCTCCTGAGGATCCCACCTGGACCCACGTCGGACAGAGGCTGTGGGTAACCCGGGGACCTGCCCCACTAGGGGGCTGCTTCTCGAGTGGGGGACAGTCTGTGGGATGGAGCCCCTCCCCGTAGGATGGGACGCTCCGGGCAGATGGTGTGAGAAGTGCGTTCAGCTGAGGACACCCTGTGGGGGCTGGAGAACTGGTCACAGTGGGGAAAAGCACCCACACGTTTGGTAACCAGAAGTGAAGTGTTCTACAACGGGAGAGTAAGAGTAAAGGAGAAACGCGTGACTTTCCCTAGACATGGTGAAACCTGCTTTTTTAAAAGAGGCTGGGATTGGGGCGCCTGGGTGGCTCAGTTAGTTCAACGACCGTCTTCGGCTCAGGTCATGGTCCCGGAGTCCTGGGATCGAGTCCCGCATGGGCTCCCGGCTCAGCAGGGAGTCTGCTTCTCCCTCCGACCTTCCCCCTCTCATGTTCTCTCTCTCTCAAGTAAATAAAAATAAAATCTTAAAAAAAATAAAAGGCAGGGATCGTCAGATTGGATAAAAAAGTGAGACTAACTCTATCGACCACAAGAAACAAACTAAAAACATAAAGACACACACAGGTCAGAAGCCAAAGGATAGAAACGGTGCGCCATGCTGATAACTCACCAAAGAAAGCTGCGGTGGCTACAGTCACATTGAATGGACTGAGGATGGCACACCAGGGACAACAGGGACACTGCGTAAAGTAACAAGGGGCCAAGTCACCAGAGGCGCACACACCAACTAAAGGGAGACGAGATGGGGTCACGGTCGCAGGGCGCTCTGCACCTGTCACTGAGCAGCAGATAGAAGGGCAGCACAGCCGACAGAAACGTGAAACACTGTCACCGCACGGCCTGACCGACATTCGTCCAACGGCTCACCCAAAAGAAACAGAACGCGTGTTGTTTCCAGATGCACAGAAA